CAATTTGCAGCATGCAATACTGACCTTTTTTGACTTAGTTTGTGGTTGGCATTTATACAGTTGATACATCTAATTTCCTGTGTATCACAAATATCTGTGCTATGGTCCCCTGCACATGTTAAACAACTAGCTTTGTTCCGACATTTCTTGCTGCTATGCCCAAAAAATCCACATTTATAACATTAATTTACATTGAATTCATCAAAAATTGGACATCTTTGGAAACCTATGTATACTTTCCTATTTTTCATAAGACATTTGTATGTTTCTTCATCCACTTGCATAATGATAGATTTAGTACCCTTTCTGGATGTGTAAACATATTTTATATCAATATTATGATCATGTTCGAAATCATTTTTGATCAAAATTTCAGTTTTTATTTCGTCATAATTTGTTAAGTTTGTTTCTACACCAACCACCTTTTGTAGTGGATTAGTTTTAGTTTCTATTTTAGCAGTATATTTGTTATTCGAATTTCCATTAATTAAATCTAAAACATTGTTTACATTGTCTTTATTTTTACAGCTAACAATAACTTTGTTCTTGTTTTTACTTACAACTAGGTTTAAAGGAATCTGCTCCTTACCGAGTGTGCTTTTAATCTCCTCTACCATAGCTCTTGATTCTTCTGGTTTGAAGGTTTCAACCACTATGGCTGGTACTTCGGATTTTTGTTGTAGTTGGTTCAATGTGTCTATGTTATTTGATGCTGCCTTTGCATAGCTGGTGCTAGTCCGTTCTTGAATGAGATGTTGTTGTAATAAGTTTTTATCCTTTAATTCAGAGTTCAGTTCCTTTAATGTGTTGTTTTGATCTATTAAAACATTGACTTGCAGTTTTAAAAACTTGTTTTCTTCCATCATAAGGTTATCTCCTTTTGCTTTCAATTCCTCTTCATTGTCGACTGGTGGTTCAACGTCTAACATCCCAAAGTTATAATTTTTCTGTTGTAAGTCTGCTATTTTCTTCTCTAATTGCTGATTTTTCACACGTTCTTGTTGTATCTCATTTTTCATGGAGTTTATTTCCATTGTGTCCTTCTTCACCTGCTTGTTCTTTAAATCTTCATACTTCCTATTTAATTTTGTGTACTTATCCCTCAAATAAGCAACACTTATTTTTAAATTATCCAAATTTTCACTTTCACTTTTACTTTTAAAATCTTTTAAGGTTATGTCTTTATGTTCATCACAAACAACAAGGGCTTTTGCAACATATACAGCACCTTTTTTAATTATCCTCTCAAAATCACTTCTATGATATGCATTATTACATAATAAACAAAAAACTGCCTTTAATTGCTCTTTAGGATGACATTTATAGTAAATATCGGGAGGAACATTTTCCTCACTCAACACACTGTCCGCCATTTTTTTTCGAACTGATCAATGCATTGATTTATTTGTTCCAAAGAAGTATGTGAAGTGCTCCTATAAGTTTCCTATTTGGTTCTCACCCAAGTTAAAAAATCTAGTTATTAAGAAAAAAGCTGCACACAAGCTTTACAAAACATGTTCTTCCACTGATTCTTATCAACAATTCTCTGCTTTACGTGAACAATGCAAAATTGAACATAAATTATGTCATGACGAATATTTTACTTCATTAGAAGTAAATTTTCGTGAAAACCCTAGGGATTTTTGGAGCTACATTAGCAGGCTTCGAAAAATTTCTAGTTATCTACAAGAAATGTTTTTTGGGAACAACAAAGCTCAGGGTAATGCAGCCATGGCCAATTTTTTTGCAGAACTCTTCTCCACAGTGTATGAAGAGGACAACGAGGACTTGATGCCAGATTTTGAAAACCATGTTCGACAGATTGACAATGCTAAAGAGATTCAGCTCCAGCTCACAGCTGTTTTTGGTGAACTTATAAATCTCCCCCGTAAAAATTCATCAGGGCCAGATGGTATTCCACCAAATTTATTTCGCAATTGCCACTGTTCACTTGTGACACCCCTCCATTTTATATTCAATCTCTCCCTCAAAACTGGCGTGTTTCCAACCTTCTGGAAAAATAGTTACATCATTCCTATTTTTAAATCAGGTGAAAGAGAAAACATTGAGAAATACAGAGGAATTTGTATTCAGTCAGCTATACCAAAGCTTTTAGACAAGCTGGTAACTAGCCAGCTCTCTAAACTCACTAATAAAATCATAATCTCACAACAACATGGTTTTCAGCCTGGAAAAAGTACAGTGTCAAATTTGCTAATATATCAAGATAGCCTTTGAGAATAAATATTAGATAGATAGCATCTACACTGATTTCTCAAAGGCGTTTGATAAAGTTAACCATAGGTTGATGTTGAGGAAGCTCGAGGCTATGGGCATTGTGGGTAGCTGGCTCGGCTGGTACAAAAGTTTCTTGGTTGAAAATTCTCAGTGTGTGAAGGTAAATGGAATTCTTTCTCAATCCATCGCAGTAACCTCAGGTGTCCCTCAGGGTCCTCACTGTGGACCCCAGCTGTTCTTATTATTTGTTAATGATGTGGAAAATGTCATCAGGCACTCAGTTTGAGATGACCGAGTTTTATTCTATTCTCAATAGAAGTATTGAAATGTATGTTCCAGAGAAAAGATCTAAAGATAATAGGTTCCCTGGATGTTATAGTGATGAGCTAAAACTGACTATTTTAAATGAGAAAAAGGTGCATGCACTGTAGAAGAAAACACATGAAAGTATCCGACCAATGTGCCTTAAACCAGTTTAATGTTTAATATGAAGGGCAATAATGAGAAGAAGGTTTTAGACCACTAATGACAGGTGGCAACTGTCAAATTGTGACAGTTGCAGATTTTGAACCATTTCTTCACAACGGATTTTGCTGAAATTTAGCATACACTTCAAGTTGAGGTGATAATACATTTTAGACTACTAATGACAGGTGTCAACTGTCAAATGTAACAGGTGCAGATTTTTGAACCATTATTTCGCAACGGATTTTGCTGAAATCTTGCATACACTTTAAGTTCGGGTGATAATACATTTTACACGACTAATGACAGGTGTCAACTGTCAAATGTGACAGATGCAAATTTGTGAACCATTTCTTCGCAACAGATTTTGCTGAAATTTTGCATACACTTTAAGTTCGGATGATAAAACAATTTGGAATACTCAACAGCTGTCAAATTTTGCACACTCTTCTGGGGAAAGCTATATGGTATCAAAAATCTGCATAACCCCACCCGTTTTTCAAAAAATTGATAAACCCCTATGCTACTCGTTTCATCTAATTTTGGACAATTTTGCACACTTATTTCCAAATTTTGCATACTCCTTTGAAGATAGTTATTGGGTATTAAAAATTTGCCCTTCTCCCCCTGTTTGTTGAGAAATTAAAAAATTCTTATGCTATTCGCTTCGGCTAATTTTGCACACGCTTCCAGGGAAAGCTGATAAGTATCAAAAATTTACATTTTCACCCCCGTTTTTCAAAAAAATTTAAATTTTTTCCTGCTATTCGGTTCACCTAATTTTGCACAATTTTGCACACCTTTTTCTGAGGCATTAAAAATTCGTACTTTTCCTTCCGTTTGTCGGAAAATTGAAATAGTTATTATGCTACTCGCTCCGGCTAATTTTGCACACCCATTTTCAAATTTTGCATACGCTTCTGGAGAAAGTTATAAGGTATCAATAATTTGCATTTTCCCCCCCGTTTTTCGAAAAGTTGATAAAATCTCAATGCTACTCATTTCACCTTATTATGCACATCTTTTTCCAAATTTTGCACACTTTTCTGGGGAAAGTTATGAGGTATTAAAGACTTGCACTATTCCCGCCGTTTGTCGAAAAATCGAAAGATCTTATTCTCGCTTTCGCTAATTTTACACAATTTTGCACAAGTTTCTGTAGGAAGTTAAAAAGCATCAAAAATTTGCACACCTATTTCCAAATTTTGCACACTCCTTTAGGGAAAGTTATGAGGCATTAAAAATTTGCACTTTGTCCAAAAACTGAAAAATCCTATGTTACTCGCTCCGGCCAATTTTGCATACCCATTTTCAAATTTTGCACACGTTTCTGGGGAAAGTTATAAGGTATCAATAATTTGCATTTTCACCTCGGTTTTTCAAAAAATTGAAAAAATTCTTCTGCCACTTGGTTCACCTAATTTTGCACAATTTTGCACACCTATTTCTAAATTTTGCACTCTTCTCTAGGGAAAGTTATGAGGCAATAAAAATTTGCAGTTTTCCCCCCGTTTGTCGAAAAATTGAAAAATCTTATGCTACCCGTTTCAGCTAATTTTGCACACCCATTTTCAAATTTTGCACACGCTTTTGGGGAAAGTTATAACGAATCTCAACATTTCACACATTTAAAATACTATCCCAATCAAAGTATCCCAAGAAATTGTTCAGTTCGACATAATTTCCTTGCTGAAAACCAGAATACTTATAATCAAAAGACATACTATCACATAAAGTTGATATCCAGCAAGCGCCAAATACCAACCACTGTATTAACCAATTGTAACCTATAAACTGTTTTTTGCAAAATGGGGACTCAGAAAATTATTTTTTTTTTTTAGAAGGAAGCCACATAATTTGTGTTATTAGGCAATTTTCTTCAGATTTAGGCGAGGATGAAATATATTTTATTTAGAAGGTATTGACGGCTTGGTCCGCTCGCCGAAGAGAAGATCTTTGGAAACGTTAATTCAAACAAAACCTTCTTGAAATTTAAATTATATTACGTCTAGGATTGCTTGCTCCAATCGCTGAATCTCAAAAATGTAAAAAAAAAATTTCACCTACAGCACCTTGAAATTTAATAGCTACTTATGCAACAAGTGTGTAGAGTGAACCTTTTTTCACGAGTGCGACAACCACATGATATTACTAGACACATTATTTTACTAGTCAAATAGAGTAGCACTTTATTTCACAGTAAAATAAAGTGCTACTTTATCGACGCAAAACTGTTCTATAAATAGCACTTTATTGGTCAATCGGACATAAAAAGTATTATTATTATTATATTTCAGGATTTGAAACGTCTCCAAAGTGTAGTTCCCGTTACAATTGGAATGATAAAAAAATGCAAAGAAGAAGAATTTAAACTATTTGGGTTTCCTGTTCAAATCGTAAGCACCATGTTTATTTATTCAATTTTTTCCTGTTTTTAATGCCAATATTTTTTTTAGGTTGATATTATTGGTATTGTGCGTAAATACGTGAAGGAATCCACAAAATGCATCTACCAAATATCTGACCACAGAGCTGATATTAAAGCAATTTTGTGGCTAGAAAGTGACGATGAGGAACAAGTACCTGAAGTCAAAATAGGTGAATATGTACGCGTTTATGGTACCATCAGGACTCAGGACGGCGAAAAAACTTTGATGGTACTCAAACTGACTGTCACTAAAGATTGCAACGTAGTCACAGCACATTCGCTAGAAGTGCTCAAAACTATGGTGGAGGCTCAAATCATGAGCACGGACAGTGCCATTAAAATCAAGAAAAATAATCCGGGGGCGAGTCTCGCAAATTCTATGATACTGATGGACGAAAATTTGGCAGAAAAAAACCAGCTCAACCCAATGCAAGTAAAATGTTTTAATTTATTGCAAGCGGATACGAGCCAGGCTGGGATGGATAGGAAAACTATATTGTCACATTTTTCAGCCCAACAAAAAAATGAGGCAAAGTACGGAACTATAAATTTTGGATACACTATTATTGCTATGAATAATAATTATTCTTTTTTAGTGCGGTTTTGGAAGTTCTCGTGACTGAAGGTTATGCATATACCACCATAGACAGTGATCATTTTAAAGCTACAGATGCTTAACTAAGATTCCCATGATCGAGATTCGGTTGTTAATTATGTAGTTATTAAGTGCATTGTTAGAATAATTTGAAAATCCATCACTTTTCTGATTTTCAAAATTCTCATTAGTTTAACCTATTTTTCTGAATTAGAACTTTTCTTTATTATAAATGGGTTTTGATTTACTTTTTTACTCACTTTTGTTATGTGAAATATTTTATTATTAATTAAAGATAATTCATAATATATTATTACCTGGAGTTTTATTTTAATAAAATAATACTGGATTAAGCTTGAACGACTTCTGGACCTTTTGCTGATGGTTCGGTACAAAATCTACTACCATTGTCGTTGCTTAGGGGGTCAAAGTGAGATAAGACCAGATAGGTTATATATAAAGTACAACAATTATTGTGAGAAGCTTATTTTAAGTCTACTCTTCAGAGCTTTGAAACCATCTTTCATGATTTTACCTGCAGACTTAAGCAGGCGCAGCAATTAAAACACCCACTTATGTTTTTATTTATTTATTTATTTATTTAACGGAATATCCAATACATACATGGTAGGCATTTACAATAATAATTCTAGTACTAACAGAAATACAAAATACAATTAAGTAGTACTCCTAAACTGTGACCCAGATAGGCGCACCACAACAGTTGGGTAGGTATTACAATCTACAATCATTCAGATTCAAGCCAGAATTAAATTGACCATACAACAATAAGTAGGTACAAATGCTATAAAAAACTACTGCCTCCTCAGCACATTTCTCAATGAAAGCTCAGAGACCATAAACAGATCAACATCAATACTGTTGCAAGCCTCCATGATTCTATTTACCGCAGTGTTTTGACCGTAACACGTTCGATGCTGCTGCGTTTGAAAAGTTTTATGATTTCTCAATAATCGTGGGGGAACGTAAAAGTCAAGTTGATGGAGAAGTTCCGAGCAGTCTATAGAACCATGCAGAATTTTATGTGCGAACAGTACATCTAAATTCGACCTCCTAGTCTCCAATGACTGAATGTTAAGAAACATCTTCAATTCACTGAAGTCTACTTTACTTGGTCACAATAAGGGATTTTTAATTTGAACGCAATATAACGCAAAAACCTTCTCTGAATCGACTCTAAACTTGAAATATCTTTTTGAAAAAATGGGGACCAAATGACACTACAGTATTCCAAGTGGGACCTAACTAGGCTAAAATACAATATTGTCAAGGCATTCAAACTAGTAAAGTCCTGTGTATTCCTAAAAATGAAGCCTAGCATTCTCAATGCCTTGCTCCTACAAAAATTCAAATGGTCAGCAAAACTGAGTCTAAAATCAAAAACAATTCTGAGACCCTTCACTGTCTCAACCTTCTCGAACTGAGTCAAGCTCAAATAATAGTTGTTCGACTCCACAATAACAGCCTTAGTAAAATGAATATATTTACACTTATCTACATTAAGAAACAATCTATTTTTGTCACACCATGCATGAAAAGTGTCCAAGTCTTTTTGGATTTTAACTGTATCCTTATTTGATTCAATCATTGAAAAAAATTTCACATCATCTGCGAACATCAAAAATTGACAGAACTCAAAGCAAGATGAAATATCATTAATAAAAATGTTGAACAAAAGTGGAGCCATGTGAGCCCCTTGGGGAACTCCAGAGGTAACCTTGATTGGAAGTGAACAATAATTATTAATTTTAACTATTTGTGTACGTTGACTCAAGTAAGATTCAATCCATTTAAGTAAGGTGCCATGAACACCTACAACATGAAGTTTCTGACTAAGTAAAATATGATTAACTTTGTTAAATGCCTTCGAGAAATCTGTGTAGATTGAATCCACATTAAATCTATTCTCCAAGGCATTAACAATGTAATCATGGTAGATCAAAAGGTTAGTAGTAGTTGACCGACCAGTGTGAAATCCATGTTGATTTGGGATTATAACTCGTTCTAGATTATCTTTTAAATACACAGTAACTATTGATTCAAACAACTTTGGTATCAGTGATTGGTATCGTTATTGGTCGATAGTTTTCAACCTTCAAACCTGAGCCCTTGAAAATAGGTGTTACATAAGACAACTTCCATGCCTGAGGAAACACACCCTCAGCCAAAGAGGACCCGAACAACAGCCAGAGAGGTCTATACCATTTCCAGCATTATTTCACACTAGTGAAATTTGATTTCAAATTAATGAAAACTAAATTCACATCAGTGAAATCTAATTTCGCTCAAATGAAAATTGATTTCAAAGTAACGAAAACTAATTTCTCACAAATGAAATTTGATTTCTCATATTTGAAAATGAATTTCAAACTGACCCTAATTAATAGATAGTAATTTTTCAAACATTTATTATTTTAATTTGAAAAAAAGATCAACAAATGTTATTTATTTCACCCTAATGAAATAAACCCACTGAGTTCACATAACATAAAATACAATGAAGGGAGTGATTCGTCGGTTAGGACAAAAAAAAAAAAAACATAAAAGGCATGTCAAGTCTTTGCCAACGTTTTGCCCAAAAGTTTAGGGCTTCATCAGGGCTAAAATATATATTAGGAACATCAAAAAAGTGCTAACAAAAAACTAAAGTTTACATGCCTTATACTTGAAAAATTATGCGGCTAGAATTATATAGAATAGTGCGAGATTTTTCAGGATGGAACATTCAATTGCACATAACAAAATCACAATACATTGAAAAAATTGTAAACAGACAAATTTTCATTATTTTTTTTTATCCTAACCGACGAATAACCCCCTTCATTGGATACCGATAGGACACGAACTTCACTTAGATAAAATACAATCATGAAACAATTAACAATAATAATTATAAATTATTTAAATAAATTGAACTTCAGTTGAATCTTCTCACTCTTGAGATAGCTGCATTATACCTTTCCACATGATTTGCTAAACTGAAGTTTAATTTATTCAAATAATTCATAATCATTATTATTGTTTCATGATTGTACCTATTTTATGTTATCTAAACCACAGTTTTCTAAACTCAGTGGGATTATTTCAGTAGGTTGAAATAAATAACGTTGTTGATGTTTTTTTCAAATTGAAATAATAAATATTTGAAAAATAAGTATTAATTAGGGTCAGTTTGAAATTTATTTTCAAAAATGTGAAATCATTTATGAGAAATTAGTTTTCGTTACTTTGAAATCAATTTTCATTCGAGCGAAATTAGATTTCACTGATGTGAATTTAGTTTTCATCAGTGGCGCACCCAAGGGGGGGGGGTTTGGGGATTAAAACCCCCCCCCCCCGAAATTAAGCACTGGTACAAAGAATTTTCCGGTAAAAATATTTTTTTTTTGCGATTTTAGTTGATAGGTATTTACAAACTTTCCATTTTAATTTAATAATAAAAAATATCCCATTTACGAATTTACGTCACGCGAAATTAGTGAAATGAATCGAAACGAAGAACATGGAAATCTAGCAACCCGGCCTGGGGCCTTATTCTGTAAGAACGAACCGTTCGATTCGGTAGAATTTCTTCGATTGTGACGTCATTTTTGGTTTGGTTTTCGCGCTACCAAACCGAAAATGACGTCACAATCGAAGAAATTCTACCTAATCGAACGGTTCGTTCCTTACAGAATAAGGCCCCTGGCTTCGTACATCGCAATTCGCGGTCATCTGAAGGTGCATTTCCACCAAGCGCGCAAAATAATTGCAAATTTGCCAATGTGACCAAATTTATTTGATTGGTGGAGACGGAATTTAGAATCTTTGCAACCATGTGTGAAACTCTCTTTCTTTAAAATACACGATTATAAAAACAGTGGCGGTGAAAATAGTTGACAATTTTTGGTGATAATTTGTGCATGGCACTCCTAAAAGGTTTTGCCTGCAACAGCGAGTTGATTTAGGGCCGGTTTATCAATCAAAGGATAACTCGGAGAGTTTGCTGGCCCTGCGTTAACTCCTAACTCTGGGCTAACTACCTACACAATTCGAAAAGTGTTTATCCAAGCTTTTTCAACCCAGGGCTGGTTAACTCTCGGGTTCTTTGAAGGTTGGCATTACTTATGCAACGTTATCAGCTCACTTTTGTCGATTTTTTCTGCTCATAACCTTACCTTTTTTATGGTATTTTTTGTCTCCGTAACGAAAATTTCGGTATCGTGTACTTACCTATTCTGTGTGAAATATGTTGTTTTGTTTTAAAGAGAAGAAAATGTCTGGGAGAAAAAACCACAAGCATAGGTACTTAGGTGGTACCTGTCTGTTGGGAATTCGCGTCTATGCTCGATTTTCGATTTTTTCTAGAACAAATAAGATTGTTTCTTTTCGTGAGCCAAAATACACCGAAGTCATCAAAATCGTCAAAGGGATTAGGGATTTGACTTCAACCTTACGTGGTAGAGGCGTCGCTCATGTTCTAGAAATTCTAGAACATCTCGATTATCATCAATGAAATCTAGATCCTTCATCTCTTCAGAATTTCAAAATTTAAGCCACAACCACAACATTCAAAAAAATTCAGACAAAAAATAACAGAAAATGTTGAGGTTAACCCAGGGTCAAATGCGCTAACTTGTCGTGAGAGCGCGGGTTAACTGTTTCCTGGAATATTTTTCGAGTTAGATGTTGACCCTGGATAGATAACCACTTGTCACAACTTTGACCCAGGGTTATCCCTAACTCATGGGGTAACCCTCTATTGATATACCGGCCCTTAGGTGAGTAAACAGCGAAGTAAACACATAACTTATACAATCACTTACAAAAAGTTATTTTTTGAAGGCTTCAAATAAAAGTTTTTGGGGGTGACACCCCATGTGACACCCTAAAAAAAAAATCTTCCTATGGCGGCCAGCCTACGACAGTGCCTGCCTGCGCCGAGCCTTCATCATTATCAAACCCCCCCCCCCCAAATAAAAAACCTGGGTACGCCACTGGTTTTCATGAATTTGAAATCAAATTTCACTAGCGTGAAATAATCCTGGAAATGGTATAGACAAAGAAAAAGCACAATTCCGCAAAAATATTGGAGATATTCCATCAGGTCCAGGACCTTTATGGGGATCTAATAATTCCAACCCACTGAGAACATCTGAAATCTTAATTATATATGAGCTAAGGTTAATATTTGAGATTCCTGAATCAGAATGTACAGTGATGTCGTTTACCTGATCATTAGCCTCATAAACTGATTGAAAATGCAGTGCAAAAAAGTCTGCAATTTGTTTGCCATCAGATGATATCTGGTTA